GGACTGACCACAAAAATCTGGAGGCACCCAAACAGGTCCGATGGGCTCAATACTTCAACTGTTTTGATTTTGTTTTAAAGCACATCCCAGCGGGGAGGAACTTTCTAGCTGATGCCCTCTCCTACATGCCTCAGTACAAATGCGAACGGGAGGACGTAGTGGACGCCATCGTTCCCTCTACCCAAACTGCTGCCCAAGTGACCACCAGATGGCAATGCTGTGACCGGAAAGACCATCGTGCAAGCAACCTAACCACGAGGCTCAAAACCGAACTGCTAGCAGACCCCTGGTTCCAAAACAACCAACACATCTTGACAAAAAGAGATGACCTTGCATGGAAGGGGATAAAACTCTACATCCCAGAATCACTACGTACCCTAATTCTCCAGAGGAGTCATGATGCCAAACCGGCAGGTCACTTTGTGTTCCTAAAGACTTTACACTTAGCCCGGAGGCAATTCTGGTAGCCTCGCATGAAGAAAGATGTAGATAGTTACGTGAAAAGTTGTACCATCTGCGCTACAATGAAGAGATGACCAGAAAAAACCCCAGGACTACTGTAAATAGTAGCAGAGCCAACGATGCCGTGGGAGGAGATCACAATGGACTTTATAGTAGTTGCCAAAAAATGGGGGAAACACGGTGCTTTGGACTGTAATAGACCTGTTCTCCAAACAGGCACAGTTCATACCCTGTAGCGGACTACCCTTGGATCACAAGCTGGCAAAACTGTTTGTGAAGCATATCTACCGACTGCATGGAGTTCCTCGAAGAATTATCTCAGACAGAGGGGTCCAGTTCACGGCTAAGTTCTGGAGGGAGTTCCTGCGGTCCATTGGATCATCTCAGGGTCTTAGTTCAGCTTTTCACCCGAGCACCAATGGGGGGACAGAGAGACTGAACGCCATGGTGGAGCAGTACCTGAGGTGCTACGTGAACTATCAGCAGTCCAATTGGGCAGACCTTCTGTCTTTTGCTGAGGTGGTGTACAATAATGCTGTTCACAGTAGCACAGGACTCACACCATTCAAAATAGTGAGAGGTATGGACTTCGTCCCAATGCCTCAGTATCCAAGGGATTCCCCACTCCTCAGTCAGCTTGGCTGATTGGATGTTGATGCTGAAAGCGACCTGGGAAAATGTCAAAAAGGCACTGGCTAAAGCGGCACAAACCTATAAGAAATAGGCAGATAAACACCAGGCTTCGCAACGTCCATTCCGGGTGGGAGAGAAGGTTTACCTCTCCACAAAATCTCATCTTCCAATCTTCTATTGATATGAAGCTGCCTCATCTCCCACCTTGCCATGTTCCCTTCACTTTCCCTCATTTTTACTCCTAAATCTTGAATTTGACTCTCCTGTTTCTCCATTTTTGCCCAGATCTCCTTTTGCTGTAAATACAGCTGTTTCATTTCTCCCCTAATGTCTCCCATTTCATTTTTAATGTCGGCCAGGGATTTTTCGGTGACCTATTATTTATTTATTTATTTATTTATTTATTTATTTATTTATTTATTTATTTATTTATNCCGATCCGGTCACATGGGTGGCAAGCCACTCCCACAAAGGAGGCCACACCCACAGAGTAGGTTCGAACAATTTTTGAAACCCACCACTGATATGTATTATATATCATTATTACTATGAAATTATTTCAATTCTACAAAGAGACAAAATAATGTTGTAATGTATTCCCTTAGCTTTTAAAACTCTTAATCTAACCATTATGAAAGGAACATACTTCTAGAAAAATACTTGTTCCTCTGTAGATGTTATCTTGGGTTTGGTTTAAAACCTCTAACACGTTTTTTTGTTTGTTTATTACAGGTGGAAGCAAAACTGATTGACAAATTGGATAGCTTGATGTCAGAAGGAAAAGGTGATGAAACCTACAGAGAGCTCTTCAACAGTATGTGAGTAATAAATGTATTTTAAAAATTATTTGACTTAATTTTTTTTATCAAAGAATATTTGTCTAAATGAGTAAAGAAATATACTTCCTCTGTATATAATGTTTACATTGTGGGAGATAAAGGAATTTCTTTCCATTTAAAGCAGCAATTCTGGTATTTCCTTAATTGTTAGAACTAGAATATACAGTACTTATAAAGATCCTAAATAATTATTAATATTTTAAAGTGAAATGCCTATTTTCAAGAAAGCAAAATGCCTATTTTCAGAACATTTCTCAGTGGAATAAAGTTACAAATACTATCAGCTTTACATTTAAAAAGTATTAGCATGCCAACGCAAAACAATTGCTATACATAATTAAATTAGCCAATGAGATCAATGAAATTAAATTCATTTATTTCTGTTGGACACTTAAGGGCAATATGTGTATTCAATCTGTCTTAAAACTAAAACAGGTAAAAATTCAATTCAACATTGATTTCACTGGAGTTAAGGATGTACATTTATCTGCTCATGTGCAATGGTTTAGATTAACACAACTCATCTTTTATAGCAAAATATAGAATATAATTTGCAGAAATATTAATAAATATATTAATAATATATCATTTTAATTTTTGGTTGAAAGGGGTGTCATATTTGTAGGTTTGCTATCTCTGCATTGTAGTAATTCCCACAACGATTGTCATACAACAAACGTCTAGATTTTAAAACTGTAATATTTGGAACAAAAAGCAAACTTGTAATAATGGGTTTTCAAAATTTTAAGATGGGTGGAATTAAGGAACACTTTAAAAGCCTCAGCAATCAAAACTGTTTATCAGAATGTATATTATATACAGATTAATCAAACAAGAAGCATATATAATAGCGTGCAGCTCTTGGTTGTTTGCCATCAAGCATTTCATTACCTAACTAGATAACATCATCAGTGCAAATTGGTTAATGATGATATTACCTACGGTAGTTAGATAATGAAACACCTGTAAATAAACAACCAATAACACCTAGAACTCCACCGTTTGTCCCTGAATCCACTGATACGTTCTTCTGTTGGAAGATATAATACCCGCTATACACTATCTTTGTGACTAGCCAATTTGGAATTTATTTATATAAACATCTATAATAGTGTGTTGTAAATTAAGGTAAAGCTCAAATTATGTGCTTTAAAAATGATAGTTTCATAAAGTGCTGGATAATTGTCAACATTGGTACTAAATATAGATTTTGAGAGGTAATATTTTCTGAATAAAAATGTTAAATATATATTGGTGCTGAATTGTTGACTTCTGGTAAGTTGTTCACATGAAGCCCTTTTTTGTTTGAGAAGCAGCACGAAAAGCTTCCAAATTATATGCTCACATAAAGGCCTTAGCAAGTACAGTACCCCACAGGTGAACCCCCAAGTACATTTGAGCTGCCACTATCAAGAAGACAGAGTTTAAGGGGGGGGGGAGACAAAAACCAGTGTCAGAAACTTACATCCAAGCAAATAGTGGTACAATTAGCTATCAATCAAAGGGCTTAAATATTCATCCTTTTTTACTATTTGTATGTATTTAAAAGCAGGGAAATAAAAAGTCATGCACTCAACCATCCTTTGGTTTCTATAACCAACACGAGAATAAACACCTACGGTAATTGTTCAAAATAGGTTTTTTGTACAATATGCTGTGTGTGTGCTCAGTGAATTGTAAGAGGATTAGTGCTAAAGGCAAGGAATGGTATTTAGAAAGCAAACAAACTTCAGAAACAGGTTTAGAGGAATATAGAATAAACCATATTATAATGAAACATACGATGGAGGTTTTTGCTCATGATATGCTTGGCAGAATGCTAAAAAAGCTGGAATACGCCATTCTCTGACTTCTGTCTAGATATTGCCTGAGGTAATTAAGTCTTGTGTTTGAAAAGATCTTTTGTTATGAATATTTACTTTAAGTATTATCTTTTAAAGGTTGCTGTATGAATGTGAATGCCTTGAATGAATTCTTGAAAATGTACTCAACACATCCACCAAATCTCTCTCTCTCTCTCCTTCCCTCCCTCCCTCTCCCCCTCCCTCCCTCCTGAGGTAAGGCTATAGTTAATATGATTATAACCTCCTTTTTCAAGATGCTCTCTCACTTTGAGCAATTTTTAATGTTTGCTCATAGAGAAATTTTCAGATCTGAAAATCTTTTTATGGTAGTTTCCTAATTCCTTATCATTTCCACAAAAAGTGTAATGCCTTATATCCACGTTTCCTGGCCCATATGTATTTTCTGAAGTTCCCTAGGCAGATTTATAAATATCAGACAATAAATTTCCTAGGATTTATTCCATGATTTTTCCTAATCTATAGGCCTTCAAATATTTTAGGCTGAACCAGGTGCAAACAAACAGTACCCAAGAGCAATAGTGTTCACATAGATACCTCTTGGCTTTCCATTCCCCAGTTTTTTTAAAAAAAATAATCTTTAAAGAAAAGAAGGCATACTACAAAACAAGGCATAATATCTAGAGCCATAGAGGTACAGTGATTAGAATGCAGTATTGCAGGCTCTTGCCTGCTGCCAGGAGTTCGATCTTGACAGCTCAAGGTTGACTTAGCCTTCCACCCTTCCAAGGTCGGTAAAACGATCAATATGCTGATACTGTAAACTGGTTAGACAGTGCTGTAAAGCACTATGAAGTTATATATGTCTAAGTGCTATTGCTATTGAAGATAATCTCAGGCATTTTTTAAAAATAAAGATAATGGATGGAGTGTCAACTTGCTAAGATAAAGAAGAAAAAGATAATTAGGGCTTGTAAAGAGAATTGAGACCAGAGGATGATGTATGTAGTATTATGAAAAGAATAAATTTACAGCTTTCTTTCATGTTTAAGCTATGCGCCATAACAATCTCATGGAAGAACCTATGACATAATCTCAATAGTCTAAATGTGCTCCTGGACCTGGAAAATTACTCAATAGCTCAAGCTTCAAAGAAACAGGGGCTTGGAAAATAATCTGAAATATAAAATATGAAGTAACTTCCAATAGTCCTACTTCATTCTTTAAACAAATCTTGGAATTCTGTCATTGTGTAGTCTTTAAGTCCTTTCTTCCAGAAAACAGACCTACTTGTCTAGCTACAGGAAGGGAAACAATAAGTCCACTCCTCAGCACCTAAATATTTTCACTCCTTTATTTAACATATACTGGTAACTGTGAAATTCATTCACAGGAACAGACTTTTGGTATTTACTGGATTAGAATTAAACTAGGTTTCCAGTTGCTGGCACGTCAGAGTTAAGTTCAACAAAACCCAAGATAGCTTTGGATCATCTGAAAGCTATTTAGCAGCTTCTGGATAGTATATACTGTAATATACCACAGTATATTAGCATATGGTAATGGAAGTTATATTGCACATGTAGAAATTGTTACATATAGCTCACTTTTTATGCATTGGTGAACTTTGTATGATTCCACTTGCAATAATTTAGTTTGTATGAGTAGCACTTATGTGTTGTTAGTTCCATAATGTCTCTTGTTATCTATTACCATTTTGACCTGAAGAAAATAATACTTTATTTCTACTAGTTTGCCATGCCATGCTACTTTGCTATAGACATTTATCCATTGCTACACATGCTTCGATGTTTATTCGGAGTGGGGGGAGGAGTTTCTTACTATACCCTGCAAATGAGTCTGGAATTTTTGCCTGGAGAAATATAAGCCTTATAATAGTTGAACTGAAAGTTGGACAATTTTTCTTTTTATTAGCTATATAACTTGAGATGAGCATGACAATTAACATTTCTCCCTGATCTAGTATCCTAGAATTTCTTTTGTATAAAACATAACACCTATTAGTATAATATTTTAAAGCTTTTCCACATAATTTCAAAAAGTGTAGCTGATTGAGTCAATGACCCTGTTTCATGCTTAAAACATGTTTTGTCTGATAATTTAAAAATTCAGGGCTCTATCTTGTAATATGGAAAGCAATAATCAAGAAGATATATGCAGAACATATTTATCTCAAGCTGTACAGTAGGTAAAACATGCATGCATATGGATTTGGGTATAAACATTTGGGGAAAGAGTATTCTCATATCTATTATTTAATTATTGAATAAACATGTGTGTATTGGTGATGGCTCTACTGACATTTGTATTTATTCTTTGTTCTGGAGAACAGGAAAATAAGGAAATTGGGATAATGTACTGTATATAACCAAGAACTTGTAAATTATTTAATGGTTAAATAAAGGAAATTAATATGCATAAAGGAAGTATATTTTTTTAAAATCCCAGGAAAAGCCTTTTCCTGTGGCAGTTACAATGCAGTAAATTGAGTGGGTGCAGAACTACTGTTGGTTGAAATATGGGGGGGGGGGGTATCTTACATTGAGAAGATTTGAAATCTCACCGAACAGGAGCAGTGAGATGGAAAATGCTGTCTTCTAGGTAATTTTTTCCCCATTTTTCTCTTGATGCCAAAATGCAAGTTTAGTGAAGTACAGCAGATTGGTATATAATAAAATCCTGACTCTTTTGAGTATAATCTCTTCCTCTCTCTTTCTCTGCAAATGATAGCTGGATGGATAGATAGATGGATGGATGGATGGATGGATGGATGGATGGATGGATGGATAGATAGATAGATAGATAGATAGATAG